ATTGCAAGGTTAGTTTGGAAGTGATCATTCCTCGTACATATTACTGATTCCCTGTGGAATCTATAATTGCATCTCCAATTACTTCACAAACAGGCTAAAGACACTGTAGATATACAACTTGGACAGCCACAGCTTTTGCTGGTGTAGGTGTAGAATTGGTGGCTGAAGTATCATTTGAACGCAGCTTGAGTTGAATGAAAATTTGTTCAAAACTTAGAGATGAACTATGTGAACTAGAGACACATCAACATGCGTACAGTTTTCTTGAACAGCAGACCCAACATTTTACACTGTCTTCAGAATGCTATCTTTAACTTCATTTTGACAGAGCATATAAATCAGTGACTGGGTTGTCTAACAAAAGGCGTCATCAAACATATTTCTGTATATTTGAATATTTAAACTTGCATCTTTATTCATCTGCCTAGAACATTTCCAAAATTATTCCTCACCAAGTATGGTGATAAACTATACGAGCTATGAGCTCATTATCGGGTTCTCCATAGACGGACAAAGAACTCCCATTTTGTCATGGTAAGATCATAGTTTCACGGTGGTGAAACTAATCTGCAGCGTCCTGTGGGAGCAAACACAGCTCAGCTGCTCACAGCCCGTTCTGATCAACCTATATAGCAATGTATAGCTTGAGAAAAAGGAGAATGGAGACTTGTGCTCCCACTCCTGTTCTCCACCTGTAACTGAAATGTGATGCCTGAGACACATTGTGGGTTTGACACCAGCTTCACAGGGGAGGTATGTGGCAAAGACTGGAATAGAAGCCTTTCAAGCTATGAGCTTGCCAGTGTGAGCCCATCGTCTCTACCCTGCGAGTCCAGCAAAAGGCTACTAAGATGATGAAGGGACTGGAGCATCTCTCATGTGAGGAAAGACTGAGGGAGCTGGACTCTTCAGCCTGGAGATGAGAATGCTGAGGGGGGATCTTACCAATGTGTACAAGTATCTGAAGGGAGAGTGTCAAGAGGATGAGGCCAGACTCCTCTCGGTGGTGCCCAGCAATAGGACAAGAGGCAACGGGCACAAACCGAAACACAGGAAGTTCCATCTGAGCATGAGGGAAAACTTCTTTCCTGTGAGGGTGACTGAGCATTGGAGCAGGCTGCCCAGAGAGGTTGTGGAGTCTCCTTCCCTGGAGATATTCAAAAGCCATCTGGACACGATCCTGTGCAATGTGCGCTAGGTGACCCTGCTTGAGCAGGGGGGGTTGGACTAGATAATCTCCAGAGGTCCCTTCTAACCACAACCATTCCAACCTCAACTCAGATAAAATGAATGTATTTTGAAAAATCATGGAGATGGGGCAGCTACACTGTGCGCATCTCTCTTTTGTAGCACATTATTGCTTGGCAGACTCCTTTGGAGCTTGCCTGTCCCTATGGTCTTCCCAATGATGTACAGAAAGTCTCCATAGTTTGTGCAGGGCAGTACTGAGTGGCCAGAACTGTCATCCTTCTAGCGAGAGGGCAAAGGAAATGAAAGATCTGTTCCCTGGAGCTGCTCTTGAATATTTACCAGGGAAGTGCTAAGCATTTCTATCAAGCTGCCCAGCCTTCCGAGGTCTGGAATTGATTTTACTTCTGATATTTACTGTAGAAAATGCATGAGAGGAAACATCCGAAAATGTAGATGAAATGTTTCAGTGCACAGTAGTGACAGGGGGCCATTGCAGACATTAGCAAAGACCCCATGTCCGTTGTTACATTTGTGACAGATTTTGCCCCAAATGAACCTAGTCAACAGCTCTGGGGATAGAGACTGCACAGCAGAGCTGATGACAGATAGACTAACCACCCACAAGAAGCCTCCAAAGTACAGCTAGGGAGCAGGAGCAATTTATGCTGGCTGAGAATCTAATTTGCAAACTGTAAGCTCTTGGGGGAAGGATTTGTCTCTATGCAGTCTACTGTCAGTACTACTGTCCCTCCCCTGATCAGGTATGCCCAGCTTCTCTTCAGTTTGACTGTGTATAGATTTTGACTCGTTTAAATAATTGTGAGAATACAGATCTGAGCACATCAGCCTGCACCTTCTGATGTGAATGAGAAGCAGAAAGGGCAGGTGTAACTCCAAGTGCTGTTCATTGCCTGCCTGCAGGTGGTAAGGAGTTTTGTTTTGCAGCAGTGCTTGTTTTGGCCAGATTTGGCTGAGAATTTCCTGGGAGATTTGACTTCTTTCTCACTGCACCGCTGCCACTCACAGTTCACATCTATGAGTTGGCAAAGCTGCTCGCATCCTGGTGGGCTGAGTCCCCTGTACCGGGGATCAGTGCCAGCCTTGCACCACTGAGCTCTGCCTGGCTCTGCACTGCTCTGTAAATCGGGAGCAATGCTAATTGTTTACATCCAAGTGTATTTGTGTGTGATGAAGCCAGCATGTGCCTGAGCTAGGGTTGTCAGGAAAAAGTGTCCCAGGAGATGTTAAAAAGGGAAGGGCCAGATCTTCAGCGTGGTTGAATGCTGTGCGTCTCCAATGAAATCTATAGACCTGAACTAGTTTTTGTCATAGAATTGTCCTTCAATATAAGGATCCTGCCTGGGTTTTTTATGAATAACATAATGACCTATGTCCAACCTCAAATACACAAGATTTTCAGAACTGTTTAGAACCGAAGTAAGAGAAAAACAAGTTCTGCGGTAGATTCCAGTAAGTTAAATTCAGTTTTATTTGAATTTTCTGTATTATTTGAATCCACTGTTTCACATTCTTTGTAGAGTTACAGTGATCTGCAGTAGCTCAGGATCTTGCTTGGGATGTTCAAAATGGGTCTTAAAATTCAAAAGCAAGAATGGAGGACCGTCAGTGACATGTTTTGTGAGCCGACTGCAGATAGCACAGATAAAAGAAGTTTGGGTTAGATTCAGACTATTGGCTTCGTCTACTTTATTGACCTTTTGCCTTTCATATTGCATGGCTTGCGGGTAAAGGAGTGAGGATTAAAGGTTAAGAAACTGCTCTCGAAAGAGTTAGGATGCCTGAATGTTTAAAATGTTTCCTTTCCCCAGTAATTCCAATATATATTAAAGCTAAAACCTTTCTGAGAGGTTAAAAAAAACAGAGCAGTAGAGAAGATCATTGGGAAGATTAGGAAGAAGAGAGTTAAGAGCTTACCCTTGATGCTTTCAGTTTTATACTTTGTTCCTATTTTACTCTGTCAATCTCTTCTAATGTTTTCTCACTGATTTTTTTGTACTTTTATGGAACAGAGATGGTGTTGTAAACTACTAGAGAATTATATATCACACTTAAAAAGTAACAAGAAGTAGCATCGAATTTTCATTAATGCTTCAGGGGTTTCTTGGTGCATATGTATTCATTTCCAAGTGTTCATATAAGAGTCAAAGGAGAATATGAAATTCCTCACCATCATTGGAATATATATTTATTGCCATAACCATGGGAATCCCAGGATCTTGCTGTCAAATAGCAGGCTGATAGTTTACTTTTTCAATTTGCTCCACCTCCAAAACCAGGAGCAACAGGAAATATTACCATGGTATATTAGGATAAAGGGCCACAGTGTGATCGCTTTCCTTATGTGCATATTCCTGATGACACTGTTTGGCTCATGGCCCATATTAATTTGCTCAAAAAAAGATGATATTCAGATTCTTGGAAGAGTTGTGTATTCCATCTGGATACTGTGAACCTGCTAAGCCTGCCTAAATAATTCCCATGTTCACGTTACTCAGTGATTTTTTTTGTGTCTTGTCAGTTAAATATATACAAAGTCCTCTAATGCAAGAACTGAGTGTGAGCGCATCTCATGCCTGTCACTAATTTCTTGTAGTCTGAGGAATATCCTTGGGAAATGGTAACATATAGTGTTTACTCGGTGATTAAATCACAGCAATGTAGAACTCCATTCAGAATGGGTCTCAAATCAGTATTGTGATTAAGTTTGTAAAATTATCATGGGATTAGTCTACAGCTATTTGTACATGTACATTTTAATCTTTTCTAAATCCTTGCCTTTCACTCTAAAAGGATGAAACACAGTGATCGACATAAGATCGCATTATCTTCCCCTTCTCAGTCTGGATGTGATCCCCAGTGCAAAACCAGGCATGAAAAGGGCTGGGGCTAAGGCTGAGATT